GGGATCTACTCTATCTTTACTATCATCATCATCATAATCATCGTTATACCCTTGCTGAGATTAGAACAACAATAAGAACTAGTAGTAGTAGTAGTAGTCGCAGTTGTGTGTGTTATTACAACTCTCCATTCACTCATCTTATGATGTAATACTGCTTCAATGCTGCCCTCTTACTACTGCTACTATGATGATGACCATGATGTATGGTGGTATTCAATCTTCCTTGGGAAGCCTTCTTATTATCATCATCATCTCGTTTTCTAGTATTACCACTACCACTAGCATAATTTAACATACTTCTTTGAGTAGTCATCAACGACTCTCTTCTTATTACTTCTTCGACACTATTATTATTAGACAATGATGATGATAATAATGATGTTGATGATGATGTTGATGATGATGATAAACCATACCCAAATGACCCAATAACCAGATGATGATGAATATCATTATTCACCCAACAATCACCACCACCATGACCATGACCATGACCATTACTGTCTTGTGATAATGATGATGAAGTACTCCCTTTGTTACTATCACCATTCATCATGACAACACTACCATCCTGATAGTAATTATAATAACACTAACTTATTATTAAAATCGTCCAACCTTCTCCTTCCTCCTATCTAGTCCTCCTCTTCCTTCTCCTTGTACACCTGTTTTATTATTATGGTTGAATCCATGATAATCTAATGATGATATATCATATGTTAATTTAGGTCCCTTCAATCTATCCATTATCTTACATCGTACTTCATTATCAGATATCACTGACTGAAGAATAATAATAACAATAATAACTACTACTACTTACATGTTTAATGTTCTGTTGTCGCTTTATTAGTCTATCTTTAATACCTCTCAATCTACGTTTCTCTACTCGCAGCTGTTGCTTACTACTAGACGCCTCCTCCTCCTCCTCCTTCTCCTCCACCATCGTAGTAGTAATATTGTGATGGACACAACTAGTATCCTCATCCTTATCTTCGTCTATCAATTCATCATTATCATCATCACGACAAGATGTACTCTTATCATGAGTATTACATCTACTACCGTTATAATATTGATAAGAATCTAAAATGATGATGATGATATTAATAATAACAAATAGCAAGTAACAATAGACAACTGACTTTCGTTTTTATTATTCTCCTTATTATTCTCATCAAGTTCCCTATAGTATAATGATCGTCTAAGTCTGGGTTTAGGTGGGAAATTAATCCTATTACTACCTAACATGGTAGTATGCTGCTCTTCTATATCCAATCTAACAACAACAATGTTATTATTACTACTACTATTCTAATCAACAATTTGATGATATACTTACTCTCCAACACTCTCTGATGATGATGATGATGATGGAGTTATATTATTCATCGTATTATCTGATGATTCTTCTACCCCTTTCGTATCATCATCTTCTGCTGCTGCTGCATTACTATTAATATCAATTATCATTATCAATATACAATGCTACTCAACAATAATCATGTTCATGCTGCTGCTGCTCATGCTAACATTGAGTAGTAGTAGTACCACGCAGACGCCGCACATACGTAGATGATGAAGAATGTAATAGAAATGCCATTACCGGGAATTGAACCCACACCCTCCTCGGCAGCCTAGTCATGGAAGGTTCAAGTGTGTTCAAGGTATCAAGTGTTGTCCACTCGTGAACAGTGTTGTTGTTATCATCCTAGTAGAGTATAATATTCTTACACTAATTACCATAAGTATGATGATCATTGATAATACGGCTAAGTCATCATTGAAGTTGGTGGTGGATGATATATTGGATAGACATTGTGATGATGGAGATGATGGGAATAGTAATAGTAATACTGTCGTCATACCATTGGCCCAGTATTTACAGTATTTCTATGGTATATATAATATAGAGTATTTGAAAGATGCATGGATGATTGCTGATAAATACGATAATAGGTAATAATAAGAGTAGTAGTGATGATAGTAGTACTAATAATAGGAGGAGTGAATTATGGTTAAAGTTAATAAGGAAATATGGATTAACACCCATTGAAGGAGTTAAACTATTGAGGAATATATATCATTGCGATGATAGTAATAATGGTAATAATAATAATTATGGTATTAATTGAGGTAGTAGGAGATGATGATGCATTAATAACAGTATTTAATGTCTGTAATAATGATGATGAATGGATGATTAATGATGGTAAGTATTAATAATATAGAGAGAGTAATAATAATTATATTAATAATAGGGATGATATTAACGAATTCTATGATGACTTATGATGGTAATACTAATGAAGATGATAGGGCCGCCATTATGGTACGGGCCAATTTATGGAGATATCTACTATTCCATACTAATAATAATAATGGATTAGGACTATCTAAAGAAGGCATGATGATGATGATACAAGATATGTGGTAATATCACCAAATCGTAAAAGTGTGAATACCTTTATAAACGTCCTTTACAGTAAACCATCATATAGGAAGATATCATATACTAATGTATTGCATCATCATCAACAACAACAACATCAACATCAACAGTATATTAATAGCAATACTATTAGTGACGATGATGAAGATGATGAATTGATTATACGAAGAGATCTTAAGCGTAATGTTGAGCTATCTAACTTTATACTACTGTAAAAAGTAGTATTAGTAGGTACTATGCGAGATATACCCTTCTTCAATGATATTACATCTAATCATCATGATGATGTGATGGAACGTATATTATTACTATTTACTGCTACAACAGGTGTTAAATATGTACAAGGAATGAATCAGGTGTGAATGATGATGATGATGATGATCACTGATCAGCAACAACAAGAAGAACAACTTTACTATGGTATCATCATCATGTTATATATGTTTAGGTATGTGCCTTGTTATATTATGTATTACGTGATGAAGGTGATACATTTTGGGCA